ATATATATATATATATATATATATATATATATATATATATATATATATTTATAGACACGCACACACACCACGTAATACTCAAATAAATCTCATTTATTTATCTAAAACAATTACATTAGTTGACCCTAACTATCACTTCATCTTTATTAATGTCTAGCGGGAAAAGCGGGAGCTACACCCTAAAATAAATGCAAAACAACAACTTTACTTCTAAGTTGATTGTATCTTCACGTGTCATGATAATTATTAAAAAAAAAACAAAAAAACAAAAAAAAAACTCTAACTAATGGTCTTCTTGACAGGGTTGGATTGTCATAAAGGAAGTTTGGCTCGAGGGGTCTCACAAAGCGACCATGAGCTTGTGGACTGAGCTGTTGTCCCTTACCCAACCGGAAATCAAACGGGTAAGAAGAAGAAAATAATTTTAGCTCCATAACCATAAGATGAGAATACCACCTCGGGTGCCTCTTTCAACATAGGAGAGGAAGTTTTGAAAAAGTTTATTTCTAGACATGTGCCTCGGCCAAGAGGGAAACTTCATGTTTTGCTTGATTTCTTCCCTCATGTCATGCATCATGGCCAGGTGAATTGTCCCATTACGAGTAAACATCCGCAAACATCCGGCCATTCACTTCTTTAAGACGTGGAACTTTACGCCTTGTTCCCGAGTTCCACTTAAGGAGAGAAATGGGAGGATACGGAGGGAAAGTGAGGGGTGTCGAAGGAAAATCATGTTCCCGAGTTTCATTAATGGAAGGAAAGTGAGGGGAGGGGAAGGATTTTGGAGTCATATTTTCCTTCCAAATTTTCCTCCCAAATTGGACGGATTTGGGAAGAAAGTGAGGGGAATGAAAATTTTTAGTTTTATTTTCTTTTTCCTCCTAACTCGGGAACACAAAAACTTAAAATTTTCCTTTCATTTCTTTTCATTTCCTTCGAACTCGGGAAGACGGAATAATGAATATTTTCCTTTACCTCCCTTTCTTTCCGTCAAAATTTTCCTTCACTTTCCCTTGATGAATTTACAAAAAAACTCGGGAACAAGGGGTTAGAGCTTTCCTCTTATAAATAAATAAATAAATAGGGTTAAATTTTTGGTAGGGGGTAATGATATTTTTTAAATGGTTAGGTTGATAAATTTAATATTCATGATCATCTTTATTATAATCGAATTTTAGTTTTTATTGTTTTATTTTCACTTTTATGTATGGGACATTGGGTTAAATGCCAACATTTAAAACCAGACGCAAAGAAAAAGTGCAGTTGATGATGGTCACCTTTTCATTCACTCACTGACTCCCTCCTTTCATTTCACGTTCAGTATTCCAAATCTACCGCTTCTATTACACACTAAATTACTCGCATCTTCGAAGCAAAGAACCCAATCGGATCACAAATACTTGTCTTCAATCATCATCTCATTGCTTTCAGTCCAATTTACCTCTCAAATCTCTCCCTCTCGCTCGCTTTTATTCTGTAATTCGTTCTCTCTATATAAGTGTTTTCCTTTATGTTTTTTATTTCGTAAATATGTTAAATTATGCTGGTTTTTGGTGATTAGTTGCAGAGTTGTGGCTCTGGTGATGATTTAAAGTGATTTTTGTAATGGCTGGTGAAATTGAAGAACCGTTGCGGTTTGATTTTCAGGTAATTTGCATATATTTCCATCGTTACTGGATCTGATTTATGCTGATTTTTACTGAAATTATGCGTGTGTTATGTCGGTTTCCTATGTATTTGGTTAATTTGTTCATTAGATTAACTTAATTAGGTCGATTTCTAGCAGTTGGCGCATAATCTCACTATTAACTTCTCATTTACTTTTGCGCTATCGAGATTATTAGATCAGTCTTCGTTTTTTTTGGAATGTGGAAAGAATTTTCTGATGGAATTAAACGTCTATGTGATCGAATATGATTAGATTTAATATCGAATTAGCTCTAGTCAATACTCGCATTTGCTTAAGAAATCACAGAGGTCCCTGAAAAAAAGTAGGGCATCGTTAAGAACATCGTAAATGCTAACAAATACAAATGGTTTTACACTCTATTTCATGTCGCAATCTTTTGATATCACTTCAAATTAACAGGCAGATCATGTGCACTCTGGATCAATTTCATTTGGAAGATTTGAATCTGAATCATTATCATGGGAAAGAAGATCATCCTTCTCACACAATCGGTATCTTGAAGAGGTGGAAAAATACTCAAAACCAGGTTCAGTTACTGAAAAGAAAGCTTATTTTGAGGCCCATTTTAGAAAGAAAGCCCTTCTAAAACAAAATTTATCCGAAAGCCAAGATGAGAAAGAATCCCCAACAAGTGAACACAATGACCTTGATGATTTACAAGAATCAAAAACTTTCTTCAATGAAGAAACCAAAATTCAGACACCTGTGAACAAAAACATAGAAACTTTAAGTGAAAGTACATCAGAACCCAATTCTTCATCCCTTATTACTCACACTCCAGAAAAGGACAAAGATATGGTTACAATGGTATGTCTTTTATAGTTTTATTCATTTATATTTGTGTATAACTTTTATATAAATACATCCATGTTCTCAAAACACTTTTCATCTACTGGTTTTAGGTAAAGCCTACATCAGAAATGAAACAACAAAAGCCAAAACTGAAAGCTCATGACGTTAATTCTGTGAAGGCTAAAACAAAGGAAACTAAAAGTTTACATATGAAGGAAAAAGAAAAGAAGCCACCTCAACCTGCTACTCCCATTACACATTCTGTGAGAAAAACTTTAAAATCAGAGGTGAGTGTTAACATTTGAACATTTAACATTTTCTTTAACTATATTTATCACTTTCTCTTTTTTTCTTTTGACATAAAACTATTAAAAATCACATGGATGAATCATGAATATCTTATGTTAGGAATCAAGTATGAGTTTTCTGAAGGCAAAAGTACTTCCTCTAAATAAAAGGTATCATTTTTTTTTTATTTTTTTTGGCATTTTACTTTATATAATCTTGTGGTTATACAAGTTGTGTCATTTACTCATTTCATATATATTGTAATATTTGCAGCATTGTGAAAGAATATAAATCTTTAAAACCAATGGAAACAAAGTCTTTGATGTTGGAGAAGAAATCTGCCAACAGGTTTGGAATATATAATTCCATAGGATTTGGAATTCAATTCCATTCCATTCTGATCTTTTTTTTTTTAAACTTTTTCTTTAAACTTATAGGATTAAACAAACTACAATGACACCAAGTGTGAATAAGGGCTCTACAGGTTTCACTTTTAGGAGTGATCAACGAGCAGAAAAAAGGAAAGAGGCAAGACAAGTGTCTATTGTACTTTTTTCCTTGAGATATTTATATATATTTATATTTAAATGTTTATTCTTTTAATTTTTCAGGAAAAAAGGGTAGCTGACATGGCACAAACCCGAAAAACTCACAACTTTAAAGCAACACCAATGCCTTCTTTCTACAAAGAATCTATAAGACCGAGTTCTTCACCTTCATTAGCAAACAAAAACCAACAAAAGAAAAAGGAGTTGACTTTTCAACGGAAGCCAACAAAAGGACAACGGGTGTTGAAAAAAGAGGTAAAAGGAGTTGACTTGGTCAACGGTCCAAAACATGGCTACTTAGCAATTGGTGTTGCTATTTGAGCTTTGTCATAGGAAGGGAAATAAAGATGTGGGTATGTGCCAACTGCCAAGTTGTTACACCTACAAATTGTCGTGGGTAGATCATGATAGAAATTACCGAATTACCCTTTGTATTGGAAAGTATTATGGTGTTACTATACGTGGAAGGGTGTTAGTTATGTAGGTGAAATATTGAAATGGATGTTGTCTAGTTAAACATAATGTTGCATGTGTAATGTGTAATGGGATTTGTATATAATATGTAGAGGTGTTAAGTATGTCTTAATATACATAATGGGTGAATTCCAGCTGTTATGTAGTTGAAAAAAATCAATAACAATCAAATACCAATATCTTTAAAGTCCATAGGGGTGTTAGTAATGTCTACAATTTTTAGGCCTTTCAAATTATTTCTCTAAACAACTCTCAACGTCTCATATTCTTTATCTATTATCTGTCACTTGTCAAATGTAACATGTAACATGTCAGGTATCCTAAGTAGTACGTTAGGCTAGAGAGCATAGCGACTTGATCACACATGTGATATATATGGTTTAGACATTATATATATAAAATGAGAAGTAAAGTAATATTCTATATTTATGGATGCATGGATAGTAAGGTGGTGTTTTTTTTCAAAGGCTCTTTCTAACCTTTTATGTCTACGTCGCACAAAGCAGACATGTCGTAGATGTTTGGTCCTGCACACTGTTTGTTTTTTAGAAGAC